TGAATAACTCAAAAATCATAAGTAGTATTTCCCTGTGCTATTGACATATATTATAAATTATAAGAGGTTATATCAGATATGGACTTTAATATTATTCATGTTGTCAGTGAAATCTTCCAACGAATTTCTAAGCAACACTGTAATGAAATTGAGAGGTTTAATTCCACTGCAAAAGGTGAAATTATATCATAGAAACACAAGTAAGTTTCCTATTATGTAAAAACATCCTGAGAATGGTATGAAGGTCTCACATCAATTGCTGTTTTCAAGAGTTTAAGGAAACGACCACAACTGCTCCTGTCCAGAGACAAATCTGGATTGTGCTGCCAACTTTATAACCTGACCCTCACCTTGCTTATACCAGCTTGTCAAGGAAAGAGAGAGCCCAGAAGAGCCTTCTGCTCTTCTTCTTGTGCTCTCTATTTCCCTTCCTTCTATTTACACAAAAGGAGGTAGGAGAAAAATTCAGAGGTAGATAATATATTTTAAATGATTTCCATGGCTGAGCTAAATGTAGGGATGTCACTTTGATAGGACATAGGCATCCTGAGTCAATAGGCTTTGCATCTGCCAGTGATCTTTTGACAACGATAGGAGAGCCTTTAAAAGTTAATATGTGATCTTTTATGGGAGCTAGTCTCCAAGAGCTATATCAATGTAGATTAACTGACCTCTCTGGGTTCTTCTTCATGCTCTGAATATGAAAATGACTGTTCTTATGTATCTCCAATGCAATAGTCACAGAAGCTTAACATAAAAGGATTGAGTTATGCTACTAAGATCACTTCAGCAAAGATGAGAACTGCAAATTGCTTTGTTTTAAAAGCTCAGATTAACTGGATTAATATTTCATTTTAAGCAGCTTGAATGAGGCTACATGATGAGGCAAAATATATTCATTGAGTGTTCTATTCCTACTGAAGAAAAAAAAGAGGATATTATCTACATTTTCATGACAGAAATCAACATTGCATTTCATTTATTCAACAAATATGTATTGAACACAATTAAATCAAAGACTCAGTTGAGTTTGTAGGAGATGAAAACTAGAATAAGATAAAATCACTACCGCTCAAAGAGCTTACACGTTGGTGTAAGAATATAGGGAATATAGATAAAATGTAAGACAGAAAGAGATGTCATAGGAGATGCAACTAAAAAGTCAGTGGTGTGTAGAAGATGAGAAATAATTGACAGCTTTAGGATCAAAAAGGGACTTACGAAGAAAGTGATATTCAAGCTGGATCTTGAAGGGAATTAGAAATGTGAAGATGAGGAATAAGAATTCAAGAAAAGAAAATAATAAGGAAAAAGGCACTAGAGAAGGAAATCTTGAATGTAAATGTAGATAGTAGCACTGTTTCTTTACTTCCTATGTGATTAGATTTCTTCACGTTCACAGTAAGTTAGTTCTTCCAGGATTTACCATTTAAAGTAGTTTCCGAAATTTCATTGTCTGTTTGTGGGAATGCCATCCTTATGTCTTGTTTCTTCAACTGAAAGAAACCTGTAGGATTAGATGGCTTAGAAGTTTCTTCTGGTTCAAAACTCTAAAAATGCAAATCATTTTAAAATTACGTTG